TAAATGAAGTTGAATTATGGTTGATTTGAGGACCTTCTATGCTAATCTAGAGGCGTGAAAAACTATTTCCAAAATATAAGTCAGTGAGTCCTGGTGAAAGTTGGGCAGGCGGTCCGCCAAACCCTTGGGTACGCCTTAGAGGAAGGTGGGGTCATCGCAGAAACTTACTAAAAATGTAGTCTTCACTAGAGTTTCCTTTATTCATTAGTTAGGGTATTATAGAGTAGTTAATGTAGTGTTTCCTTCTTGTATTTGTAATTAGATTTGGATTCAGATTGAGGAGCAAAGATAGAGAGTTTGAAACTCATGTGACAAGGGTGACATCTCTCCTATCACTTTCTCTTTTGTATTTAAGTTCATGTTTAGCTATAATACAAGTTTGGATTTGTTTTTCTTCATGTTTTGCTAAAATTTATGCCTAGAATTATAGTTGAACTTGCTATATCTTGTTAGTGATATTTATTTGGTTATTTGGTAATATTATGTTGAGCAAGTTATTTATCACTTTTGCTTATCTAATCATGATTAACCGGCCATTAGTTGTGATTATCTAAAGGTGTTAAGTTTGCTATGAAAATTGAAATTTAACACTAGTTCAAGGAAGTGATAAACCTAAGTAGTACACTCGCAAGAGTAGAGGTACACCTTTGTGGCTTAAGTGACTTGTTCCATGTAATTTCATAGAAAAAATGAGCTTGTAGTTAATTTCATAACTACGAGAGTAGGTATGGTTTAGCTACAAGTATAGTTGATTTACTACGAGAGTAGGTTTCACATATATTAGGAAATTACGCCATAACTAGACAAGATAATAGCATTCACTTAACCAATAATCTCATTAGCGAGAGTAATGAGGAATTCCATACCTCTAGGAGTTTTCTAGTGTTAATTTTATTACTTTTACTTCATGCTTATATTCTAAATAATAAAGGAGTTTAAAAATTACCGGTAATTGAAAATCTTTCCTGTGGGATCGACCCTTAATACCTTATACTCGCTCACGATTCGTATGCTTGGGAAAAATTGCGTATGGAGCATTTAGGATTTATAAATGTAAAATTTGATTGTGGATGAGCTAATTGTGTATGTATACCACGCGCACGTCATCTACCAACCTTAATTCGTCTTGAGCGGTCCCTGATCGAATTAGGTTCCATCCCTTATACCAAAATTCATTAACCACATGATTAATGGGTTAAGGTTCTTTTGTATTTATAACCTGGTCAAGACAGATCCTTCAACCCCCCTTTGAATACTTTAGATGGGTTCTTGAATGTTCATTTATGGCGTATCAATCAAAGAACACGTTTGATTGTGGAGCCTTTCTACCAACCTTAATTCGTCTTGAGCGGTCCTTGATCAAATTAGGTTCCATCCTTTATACCAAGATTCGTTAACCACATGATTAACGGGTTGAGGTTTTTTTGTATCCATGACTTAATCAAGACAGATTCTTCCGCTACCTGATCGATTCGATTTCTTCTCGATGGTCCTTGGAAAATCTTATTCGTATCAGTTGATATCAGAGTTTTGGCTCTTGATCCAAGTTAATATCCCTTTTTTTTCTTGTTTTCCTATTTGTTTTTTATACCAAAACCCTAGTCGTCTTTTGATTTGAAAGAAACAAAAAAAAATTTCCATTCTTATTTTCTTGATTTTATCGTTTGAGTCTAACATATCCCCTTGATTGATTGAGATTGGAATTTCTTGATGTGATTAAGTTCTTAGAAACAAGTTTTCTAAGGGTTTAACTCCTATTAAATTTCTTTCAAGTTAAGTCGTAACCCTGTGTTGAGTCATCAAAAAAATTTTTTGGGTATTGTTCATGTTAATGTAGTGATTGCTATTCATCGTTCCTATTGCATACTGTTCATCATATTGTAGCATCACTCATCATCCGAGTTACTGTTCATTTGAATAAAAAAAAATATTCTGTTTGGGGATTTGTTTCCTATCGCAAGTTGTGTTCTTGGTTGTTGTCCATTTCTAGTTTTCTTGTTGTTACCCGAAATTCAGTTTGTGTCTTATTTTTATTATTAATCATTGTCTTGTTGTCTAGAGTCTTGAGTTGTTTTAAAAAAAAAAGAAATTAGTTGTACCATGTGTTTGTTCTTGTGTCAAGCTGCTGGAAATTATTGAATTCTTGAACTTTGTTTGAGATTCTTGGTGAAATCTTGAAAAAACTTTGGACTTTCTTGATTCCAATCTTGAAATCTTGAAGTTCTTGAATTATATTCTCGGATTGTGGTAAATCTTGGGCCGAATTTTGATTAATCTTTGAGTTCTTGAAACAACTACAAGTTCTTAAAAAAATCCGTGGCTGCTAGCTTTGTCTTGAAGCTGCATCGAGAAAAAAAAAAAAAGAAACAGAAATGAAAACGCAACTCAATTCATTCAGTTGAAAGCCGTGAGCCCTAAACTTTTCAAATCAGATTTGGAAACAAAACGTTGTCACATTCCATTTCCTAGCCGCACAAGGATTTGATTTTCAGCCTTGTTGACTTCAAATTTCACTCCTATTTGGGCTGGGATTGAAATCGTTTCGCACCTGATTTCCAAAGGGGAAAGAGTATTTTTCAACCAAAACAACTGCCCTTTAAACACCATAACAGCCAAGTACAACAAACACCAAAAATTCCAGCTTCACCAGCAAACCATTGCTTCGGGTTTAACTATTCAAAATTCCTGTGAATTGTCCAGCAATTTTTACTTCAATTTATGAGTATTTTTCAGTCATTATAGTGTCCTAAAGTCATTTCCTTGAGTTAAAATCAGTCCAGATCAGTTGCATTCTTAGCTCAAACCTGCTATAATCTTACTTCGTCTAAAGGTGATAAGTTGGTCAACACTAGAAGGAGTTCGAATTTCTTCAAGGTGTGGATCAAGCGGCCTTGCGAACTTAATTGGTGAGATCATTAGAGTGTTAGACAATTTGAGTGATACACGAGGGTTGAGTGTAAACACGTGAGGGAGCTAGTGAGGATAAAAATTTTCTCTACTAACTGTTTTGCAGGTTAGGTCAACATGTCAAAGGAAGGTGAAACTTCTACTTTTGATCCTATGCTTCTTATGGATGCCATGACAAGTCAATTGCACAAAATGATGGAGGAGGAGCAAGTATACTACTCATTCTTTCTTTCACCATTTTTGCCCAAGATTTGAGTACAAATCTTATTTTCAAGAGGAGAGGAATGATGCAAAATATGGGCTACTTAAGGGGCCATATTTCAAGCTTCAAGTAGTTCGAGTTTTTATTAGTAGCTTAATAGTTTATTTTTCAGATTTCTAATTAATTTGGTAGGAATAAAGTTGGTCCAAGATCTCATGTTGAATTGGATCCAAATTAGTTGTCAAGTCCGTTGATTAATTGAGTCGTTTTGTTAGTTATTTCCTTGTATAATAATCATCCAGCAATAAGCTTCTTAATTGGGTCGTGAGTTAGTTGATTTAGCTAAGTTAAGTGAGTCCATTAATTTAGGTATAGTAGGGATATAAATATTTGTATCGTTCCATTAAAAAAAAGGAAGATAAACGTTTTTTAGAGGGTTTTCTCTTGGCTCGTGACCAACCCCCCTTTGAATACTTTAGATGGGTTCTTGAGTGTTAATCTATGGCTTATCAATCAAAAAAACACATTTGATTGTGGTGCCTTTCTACCAACCTTAATTCGTCTTGAGTAGTCTTTGATCGAATTAGGTTCCATCCCTTATATCAAGGTTTGTTAATCACGTGATTAACGGGTTGAGATTTTTTTGCATCCATAACCTGATCAAAACAGATCTTTCTGCTGTCTAATCGATTCGATTTCTTCTCGAGCGATCTTTGGAGAATCGTATTCGTATCAATATATAAAACAAATAGTTGACATGCAATTTATAAGTCTGAAAATGATGCACATAAAAAATATTTTTTTTTACACAATGTACACCTGCCCCCTCCCTTCTGCCTCCCCTGCCCCTGCCGCAGTAATCTTGACTCCGCCACTAACCACCGATCTTGGGTATCCAGAAACTACAAATTTGCAGTATAGAGATCTTGATAAAGATGTAAATATGATTCTTAGAACTCTAGAGAATGAAGGGAGTGTTAGTTACAATACATGGTTGCTCAAAGGGCAAAGGAAAAAGGACTAAGGAAACTACGCATGCGCTTTCAATGCTAAAAAATATGTTACTTCATTTCTTATTTACACGTGCTCATTTATGTGCATCTTTTGCAGGCTCGTGAACCCGAAAATGCCACTGAAGAGTGATTGTAAGGGCTCTAATGTAGCTTCTATAGATGTTGCTGAAGAAGTTAAAGTCTAAAGGGAATTTTGTTTTGGCTAGAAACTTCTATTGTAACTACAAACCTTTGACGTATGTTTGTGGCCTTGTAACTTTCTATAGTTATATATATTTTTTATGGTTTTTAACTGAAATTGAATGTAGACTTTATTTTAGTCGCATGCAGACTTGTATTCTAATAACTAGAATTTATATGCATTGCTAAATTATACACTACTTGAGTGATGAATAAATCTTACCTATATAAAGGAGAATAAATATATTGTGAATAGTAATGAACACTAGATGGGCCAATTATACAGTTGTTTGCGTGAGTGTCCACGGGGGTTAATTTCATTTTGTTCCCTCAAACTATATGCTAAATTTCATTTCAATCACTAAACTTCAAAATGGAACACTTAAACTATAAAATTCGTTCTAGTTAAGTAAAATCGGTGACAGAATCCTAAAAACTAACTATCTATTAAGAGTTTGGACAACACGCTCGGTCGATGTTGTTGTGCAAGCGTTATAAACCAAAATGATAGGGACATAAATGTAATTTCATTTTTTTCCTTTTTCATCCTCCCTTTTTTCCCTATTTGTTTCATTTGTGATTTCCCTGTTTGTTTCTTTTTTTTTTTGTCGAAACGATAAGATGATTTCATTGCTTTCATGGTAAAAAAAAATTACAAGTGCGAGCAACGGCTCGATCGGAACTCTACAAACAAGTGTTCAAAGACACTGAGGAAGCTGTCGCTCCTCATCCACAATAATGCTTAACGCATCAACACTCAATGTTTTACTGACTGTCATATTTTCTTCCCTATCCAAAACAAAAGAGCACATGCAAAACAATCTCTGTAACTGAGAGATGTCTTCAAGTACTGTTGCCATTTTGCTGTTTGCTGGGCTCTGATATTTTAATTGTCTCCACAGTTCTTTGTTACAAAATCTCAGCTTAAGATTGCTCCACTTGCGTTGTACAGCTTTACACAACACCAGCTTCAGTGCCAACGCTTCATCTAGGATTTTGTTTCCAGAACTAATGTCTTTCAGTGCCCACCCTATCATCGTGTTCCTTGCAAAAAACTGAACTGTGACTCCAATTCCCACAAACAACTGCCCTTGCTTCGTGGTTGTATTCACCTCCATTAGCACTTCTCCTTCATTTACATAATTCTGATGCTGAACATCTTGCCTAGGGACTGTTTCAAACGTGCTCTCTTCTTTTTCTTTGTACTCTATCTGCTGCTGCTCTAACCATTCCAAATGAGCTTTCCTTATAGATTTGAAGGGGGGATCGAAGTTAGCATTCTCGAATTCTATTTTGTTTCTTTCCTTCCACACCTGCCACAGGATGTTTGCAGTTAATCCAATGTGTTCCATCCCTTCTGACCTGTGCCTTGCTTCAGAGATTCTTAACCACCACCTTTTGAAATCTCCCTGCTGCTCCTTTGCTCCATCCCACTGAATGGGAGATGCCTTCCATATGTTTTCCGAGTGGGGGCAATTCAGCAAAAGATGTTCGACTGTCTCCTGTGCTAAACCACACATCTTACATATCGGATCACCCTCCCCCGTTCGTCTATTTACTGCTGCTTTCACAGGCAGAGCACCTTGAATGCATTTCCAGATGAAGAATTTGATTTTATGTTTGATGTTTAAGCTCCACAGTGTATTCCACATCTGAGCTAACTCCGAATCACTTGCCGAATAGCTAGAGCTAGCTCCTTCCTGCCTGCACCTGCCTCCCATCCTGTGTTGCTTCATCAGAAACTTATAACCAGAATTGACAGTGTACATCCCTCCCACCTTTGGTTGCCAATAAAAGCTATCTTCCCTATCAGCTAAACTCAGAGGAATAGCTAAAATTTTTTGTGCATCATTGCTATTGAAGGATCTGAATATGATGTTCCTGTTCCACCTATGCTGACAAATAAGCTCCTCCACTTTTTCCAGCTCACAATGAATCCCTCGACTAGTAGTTGGCATCCCTGTATCAGTGTCTGGAATCCACTTGTGGCTCCATATATTTGTACTCCTTCCATTTCCTATCCTTCTTATAATTCCAGCATTGATTAAATTTCTTGCCCCCATGAGTCCTTGCCAGATCCAGGATGCATTTCTGGGGAGACTACACTGTAGTATCGATTCCTGAGGAGAATATCTGGCTTTCAACACCTTACTAACCAATAGATTTGGTTTAGTAAGTATCCTCCAAACTTGCTTCCCTAACAGTGCTTGATTGAAAGCTTCGATATCCTTAAATCCTAAACCTCCTGCACTTTTTGCCATTGCCAATTTTTCCCAAGACAGCCAGTGCATTTTGTTCTTACCATGAGCTTCACCCCACCAGAAGTTGGCCATCAAAGCACATATATCTTTACACAATCGTCTGGACAGCTTAAAACAAGACATCACGTATGTGGGCATTGCCATAACAACTGCTTTCAGCAACACTTCCTTACCTGCTGGACTCAAAAGTTTGTTCTTCCAATTCTGACATCTTCTCCTTATATTATCTCTCACAAAACCAAAAATCTGCTCTTTAGATCTTGATACTACCATAGGGAGTCCCAGGTATTTGCCTTGCTTAGCCTCTACCATTCCTCCTAATGCCAGGCATATCTCCTTCTTCTGCACATCATCCACATTTTTGCTAAAAAACACTGCTGACTTGTCCAGATTGACTAACTGTCCCGAGGCATTTTCATATGTATTTAGCACCTTCATAATTTCCACAGCCTCATTCTTATTAGCCTTACAAAATATTATAGAATCATCCGCAAAGAACAGATGTGTTAACACTGGACCAAGTCTGCTGATTTTGAGTCCCTGAATTCTTTTGCTTTCCTCAGCCCTTCTTAGCAAATTGGAGAAGCCCTCAGAACATATTAGAAACAGGTATGGAGACAGAGGGTCCCCCTGCCTTATCCCTCTTTCTGGTGTCACAAAGCCTTTAACCTCACCATTACAGTTGAAAGAGTAACTCACAGTCTTCAAACAGCTATGAATCCAGTTAATCCATTTAGAGCAAAAACCCATCTTTTCCATCATTTTCAACAAGCATTGCCACTCCACCCTATCATAAGCCTTTGCCATGTCCAATTTGATAGCCATGTATCCCTCTTTCCCTTGTCTTTTATTTTTAAGAAAATGCATGTACTCGTGAGCAATGATCACATTATCTAGAATCTGTCTTTCTGGGATGAAAGCAGATTGAGTTTTGCTAATACACAGATCCAGGACAGATTTCAGTCTATTTGCCAGAATTTTTGATATGATTTTATAAAGCACACTACACAGACTGATAGGCCTGAAATTTTTCAGATTGGTTGGGTTCAAAGTTTTGGGAATAAGGGATATAACAGTGTGGTTGACTGATTTGAGCATGTGGCCTGAGTGGAAAAAAGCTTTAATCGCAAAAATGATGTCACTTTTAATAGTATTCCAGAATTTCTGAAAAAACAAAGGAGTCATTCCATCTTGTCCAGGGGCTTTTTCTGGATTCATAGAGAACAAAGCATCATGAATTTCTTCCTCCATAACTTCCTTGGATAACTTATCATTCATCTCCTGAGTAATATAGTGTGGAATTCCCTCTAAGATTTCTGTCATCTCATCCTTCCCACCACTCGTAAACAGGTCCTTAAAATACTCAGAAAGTTCAGTCACTACCTCCTCTTCATTCACAGTCCAAGAACCATCCTCTCTTTGTAACCTGTTCAATCTATTACTCACACGCCTCCCCTTGACAAAAGAGTGAAAATATTTAGTATTTTTATCCCCTTCTCTCAACCAGTTGATTCTGGACTTCTGGCTCCAGAAAGCTTCTTCCTCCTTGTAAGCGTTAGCCAGCTGTCTTTTGAGATCCTGACATTTCTCCTTTTTGTTCGCTAAACCAGCATTCCTAGTCTTCTCAAGATCCTGCTTAAGACCGTCAATCTTACTCCTAGAGTTAGTCTGGGCATTATTTCTCCACTTCAAGAGTTCAATTCTGCAATTCCTAATTTTTCTAGTCACTTTGAACAAATTTGAGCCCTGTTCCTCCCTACTCCAGGCTTGCTCCACTACTTGCTGGATCCCCTCTTTTTGGAGCCACCTCTTGTCAAAGTAAAACCTCTTTTTTTTCCTTTCTATCCCTGGATTGGTGTCTAGCAAAAGCAACGAGTGATCAGACGCTAGAGTCTCAATGTGGTGACACTTAGCACTCTCAAAATCTTGGAACCAATCCATACTACCCAAGGCTCTATCAAGCCTTTGACGAATCTCCCCTTCATTGTCCCAGTGATTGCTCCAAGTCCAAGGGTGGCCTTCAAAACCAATATCAACAAGACTGTTCAGCTCAATGAAATGTCTAAAGTCCATAAAACTACTCTCCTCCCTAAACACCCCCCCCACTTTTCTTCATTGGACAAAATGTCATTAAAATCCCCCGAGATCAGGAATTTAGACCCCCACAACCTACTTCTATCCGTAAGCACTCTCCATTGTTCCTTCCTGATCCCTCTATCACAACTAGCATACACTCCAATGAACCACCATGCCGCCTGAGATTCATTACCTTCAATCTTAGCTTCGATAGTAAAAGCAGTAGTGACCACCTCTACAATTTGTGTATCCTTAGTCCAAAGTAAGGCCATCCCCCCTGTTCTATTCATAGCTTCCACGGTCACACTGTTATCTAGCCGTAACCTTCTAGCTATTCTATCTATGACTGCCTTCCTGTTCTTAGTTTCACTTAGGAAAAAAATATTTGGAGAGGAGAGGTGATTAACCTCCCTCAGCTGGGGAACTGTCAAGGGACTCCCCACCCCTTGGCAGTTCCACACCACAACTCTCATTTACACCTGGAGGTCCCATTAAGGAAGGACCTCTCCTCCTTTTCCTTATCCCCCTCAAAATACAGCTCCTCCATCTGTTTAGTTTTTTTCCACTGACACGTATCCTGATTTGTTTCCTCCATCACTTCATCTCTAAGCAGGATCTTCCTCTTCCCCACTTTCACCTGAGAATTTGCATTACCCTGTATCACCTGTAGAGGACTTCTGGTTCTAGCTGGAGTCTTTAACTTTCTAAAAGTTCTCCTGGTCTGTCTGTCCAGTAACCCCACCATCTTAGTATCACCTGGGGTTTCCTGATGAAACACTACTAGCTCTGATTCTTTCTCTAAGACTCTAGATTCCTGGAATTGGTTGTGCACTACTTCAACTAAATCCTCCTCCATCTCTTCCTCTATATGAGAAAGCTGGAGATCTTCCCCTCCTTGATTAAAACGAGGTAACTCTACGTCCTCCTTGTCGCCCATCACCAGACCCTCAATTCTACTGTGAGAGACTACCTTAAGAGCCTCCTGTTGAGTAGAAAGTCCCCCAACCCCCTCCATACTATGATCCTCCCCTACTCTTTCACCATCCTGATTACTACCCCCACCACTGCCAGTGGCCTTAAGGACCTCCAGCAGACTCTGATTGCTATGCCTTTTACTTTTCTCCTGTTCGACCAACTCCCCATTCCTAAAGGCCCAGTAACGTCTATCACTATGTTCAGAGACTCTAGCATTTTTTTTCTGAGGGGAGACCCTGACATTTCCGGCTCTCATCCAGGGACCATACTGATTCTCATCAGTATTCCCTCCTAGCAATCTCCTATCTTTACAAGACCTTTCACTATGTCCCACAATTCCGCAATTATAACAGAAATCAGGACACCTTTCGTATTTGAAGGCTATCCATTTGCCAGTTCCTGCTATCCTGACCACAGTACCTCTAAGAAGAGGTTTAGATAGATCAGCCATAACTAAAACCTTCAAATGCCTACCCTCTTTGCCTCCCACCTGAGGGATCACAACATCTCTAACTTCCTTAAAAACTCTCCCTATCTTTCTACCAATCTCCTTAGACAACCAATGAACTGGCAAATTCCAGAGCTGCACCCAAAGAGGTGCGGTCACGAAAGTTTTATAGTCATCTTCAATGCCTTCCACCCATCTTTTAAGCACAAGCATCTGGTTATCTATAACCCAAGGCCCTCCCTCCACTATTCTATCTTTATCTTCTGAGTTTTGTAAGTTAAACTGAAACACATTTGGTCCCAGTTCCACCACAGACAGATTCCTGGGATACCCCCAGGCCACAGCCACAAAGTTTTTAATACCAGTGAAATTAATGACTTTTTCTCCTAAAACTCTCCCGATGATACTGTTTTCACAAGCTCTCACGCCAGTTTGAAAATCATCCCCCTCTAGCGTGAGTCCAACCAGCTCATTCCCTTCAAGGGAAAACTTCTGTAAAATATCCGACAGCTCTCCCTCCATGGAAAGCTCATAAAAATCTAAGATGGAAAAAAAACACTCTATCCACAGGAGATAAAGACCAGAACCAAAACGTAGAGAACGGAAAAGAGCACAGAAACAAAACAAACGGAAAGACTAAGAAAGAGGATCGAGACAGAAAAAAGAGCCTGCTGAAATACCGGACCACAACTGATAAAATATCATTGCTCCCTTATACGCTTAAGAAAAACAGGGAAAAAACAGAGCACTGACTCACCTTGTCCAGACAAAAGCTTATCATAGCTGAAGATTGCGACGCTTGAACTCCCTTTCTTCATGCACTGACTAGCTTCCAAGAGATGAAGCCCCCCTTAGCTTTGAAACAAACAATCTCCCGTTCAATTACTGGCGGAAGATCAAGCTCCGGGAGTGCGGGAGAAAGCAAATTTTGAAAGAATTTGAAAAGAAACAACCTTCCCACCAAAAAGGTGGGTGAGCTCCTATCCCAAGAGAGAGCACAGCTACCTTAGAGTGAGAAAGCCTCTACGTTAGAGAGAGGATTTAAGGTGGATATTGCCTTTTTTCCTTTCTTCCATTTCCCTGTTTGTTTCGTTTGTGATACATACTAGTAGGTAGCAGTACCTCTTTGAGGGTAAATGCAAGAGTGCTGGAAGTGAATTTTTCCAAGCTATCATGAGCTTTTCTTAGACAATCCACCCCATGAATCTGTTAAAGGATGCCTTGTCTACAGCTACAGCCCCTTTTATCTTAATCTGTGGATTTTATTGCTTCATGAAGCATACAGCAGCAGCAACACTGCAATTATTCACACTGCAATTGCAGTGGTACAAGGATAAACTCAAATAAAAAAACATATAATCCTATATCTATATAGCTACAAGCTTACAACCTTGACACCAGAGCAAGAAAAGAAATCAGTCAACCGAGTTTGTGAGCAGCAAAATGACTTCCTTCTGCCATTAGCCGCAAGAAAAATAGATGGTCTTTTTATTTCACACAACATGGCTTGATTAATTTCCTCAATTCAAGGCTCTTTCACATCAACCCAGATGCTTTCTTCAGATCTCTCCTCCCATCGAGGAAACTCCTCCATCTAGGCTGCTGTTCCACTTCCTTCTGATGACTTTTTGACTTTAAAATTAGATTTATGCCAATCTAATAAAGCCTTTTGAGATTCACCATCAACTTGAACCTGTTGAGGGGGGCTTTTCTTGACATTAAGCAGAGAGCAGTATTTCATCTTGTCCTTTTCTTTAACCTTGGTTTTCATTGTAGTAGTTTTATTCTTTTCCCAACTCCAACTCTGCTGGTGCGGCGCCACGATGAATTCTTCAATGCTGGCTGTTTGTCTTGGTCAAAGTTATGCAAGAGTTGTCTAATAAAGCAGAGGAATTATAGCGATTCTTTTCTTCTTGACAACGAGTAGTGCTTGGATGTGAGACTTTTAAGGAGGCAAGAATTTTGTGATTCGCATACAACTTGACAAAGTGGTTGATACATGATAGTAGTGGTGGAGGTGGAGGAAGGGGGCAACAAGAACGGGATCTGTAGGAGTGATGGGGTGCGGCATTGTTGTGGTGGTGGTGGTGATGGAGAAGATGGTGGATTTTGTTGGGTGCTTTTTAAGGAGTCTGGAATCCATGGATGATGATACAACTTTTGGCTTCGGTTCTATTAGGGCTGCCGACGAGGATAAGTTGTATCTTTGGACAGAAAAATTGAGAAAGCGCATGAGGAAAGAAGAAGAATAATAGGGAAAAAATTTTAAAAGGGAGAAAAAGGGAAGGATGAAGAACAAAGGGTGAAATTACTTTTACATCCCCATCTTTTTGGTTTATAACAATTACACAAATATACTAATGGAGCGTACTACTCACGCTCTTGATACACTATTAGTTTTTTAGATTTCATTACCGATTTTACTTAACTGGAACGGATATTGTAGTTTAAAGACTTAAATGTCCCATTTTAAAGTTTAGGAATTGAAATGAGATTCCATGTGTAGTTTGAGAGGACAAAATGGAATTAACTTTATTGTGGTTTTTTGGTGTTGGGTGGGACAAACTTGTTTGGTAATTCATGAAACTCGTGTGGGTGGTTGTCGATTTAGAGGAATTCAATGGGTTTTTAGTTATTTTACTACTCTTTAAGTGCCAGCAAGCATGTAAGATACCTTTGCAATGGGAGAAAGGACAATGGGGCTTCTTCCATAGTTATTAATTTTCAAAGGTGATGAATCATTGTCTGGGCTACAGAAGACATTGAGGAACACTTGCGGTGCTCAAATATGTAAAATAGTGAAACGTTGTCAAGGCAAGAAGTCTGTGTATCTAAGCCCAAGATGTAACAAATTTGAGGCCCAATATGTCTTCTCATGTATTTTAGAATGAAAAAATTATTCAAAACATTTCTAATATTTTGTTAAATAAATTTTTTCATCCTTTACTTTTAAAATGATAATTTTACCTTTCTTACAAAGTTAAATCAGTAAAATTTGGTCAAAATATGGATTTTTTTTTATCACTTTTTATCTTGAATTTATTACATAACTCACATATGATCATTTTTTAAGGTTAAAAAGGTTAGATCCTATTTGCTGTTAAATAAATAACCCAATTTGTATTCAATTTTAAACCTAAAAGTAAGATCTAATCTGCATCATATTTATTTTTCGATCTCCTAAAATGGTAAGATTTGACTCAATTCATATTTATTTTTCTCCTAAAAAGGTAAGATTTGACTCAATTCATATTTATGTTTGCCACTGAAAATGTAGTATTTGACCTTTTGCATATACAAAATGACTATATGGATCACGTAATGATTTCAAGCTAAAAAGTGATCGAAAAATTGAGATTAGGACAAAATTATACTAACTTGAATTTGTAAGGAACGTAAAATAAATATTTTAAAAATAAAGGATAAAAATTTCATTCGATGAAATGTGAGACGTTTTGAATAATTTTTTACTTTCAGAATTACTAATGCAATTTTGTGGGGACTCTTCTTTTCCTCCTCGCATTCATCCATGCTTACCAAAAAGGTATATATTTCTATTTCATGTTCGGACCTACTCAGTGTGGGTAATAAATGGAGAATATAATTGGCCTCCAACTTGCTGCCATTATCATGCTATGCTTGAAGGAAAACCAACTCTCAAACTATAGGCTTGGTTTGCTTGCGTAGGTCTTCATGCAATGAATATGACTGCCATCCTGTTCTCTTTGGTTTGGAAACTTGGAATGAATTTAACTGCTATCCTTTTGTCCAAACTGTATAACTTTGGTGTGTCTATACTTTCCAAAATTTCCTAAAGCTCTTCTTCCTGCAAGCAAAAATCAATGTCAGAAACTAAAATATTGAAAACATTGAAAAATTTTAGTTTTTACTTACAATGGTAGTTTTTTGATCTTACACGTTGTGGCCAAAAACAGGCCGCAGCTTGTGGTGCCATCATGTCCATCTCTCACAACTTTCTGTATCACTGACAAGTGTACTGAATTTCGTTAAAGTACAATTCTCATATGAAATTCTGATTAAGAGTTATGA